TGGGGAATTCATCCCCATTAGGGTTGGAGATGGAGGGGGGACTCCTTTCCCCGCTGGGTATTGGGGACGGGGATGGGGGTGAGTTGGGGATTGGAGTCGGGGATGGGGAATGTAATCCCCGCCCCGTTGCCATTCCTAATTGGGATTTAAAAAAGGTTTTGGGTAAATTACTAAAACCTCCATTGAAGTTTTGGACCGTTGCTAAAATCTCTCCTAAAGCTTGGTAATTACAACCGCCTCCCCTAAACTTTATTACACAATTGCAATTAAACCCCCTTTGTTAGAATCCTCTAAGAAGAGGCATGAAAATGTCCAAAATATCCATGCAGTTACTATTAAGGTTGGTTTATAAGAAAAGGTAAGGGCAAATTTCTTAAACTATCCCTATTATTTAGCTAATTAACTAACTATATCCTTATTGTTTAGCTATTGTCTTACACCATCCTTACTGAAAATTGACTAACTCTACCCCTGCCATTATTGTAAGTTAATGTTTTGTCAAAATTCGTACGAACATGACACCACGTGATCCATAATTTTTTTAAACCCAAAGTTACCCTCTTCATCTTTTGCCCTTAGTCTTTCGGTCGGAGAATGAAAACCTAGGTACATTTCTCCAAGAATCCTATGACCCCTCATCTTCAATCATGAAGACAATCTCAGATGGTGACAACCCTCTTTTGATTTAGCACTTTGATTCTACTACGGAAAAAGTCAGGTTAGGGCTTCGATTTGCTAGTACAAATCACAAATATATTCTCCGATTTACTATTGTTGCCCTTGTTAGGGCTTCAATTTTACATGTGGAAGAAGGCAACAATGGGTTATTGGGCACCATAGGTTCATGATTTCCCCATCTCAATGACTAGCAAGAATCAATGGATCACAAAAGGTCTCTTCCCATGACCCTGATGGGGAAAACCTTTCTTTGAGTTATGCATAGGATCAAGGGATCACAAAAGAATGGCACAAGAGTACTTGCGGCTAGGAATTATGAGAGAGGTGGACCTGCTTGGTTAAGAGAGCTCCGTCGCTGCAACTCCACTCCCCTATTCTCATTGATAGAGAGGGGAGTTGTAGTGGCCTAACGGTGAACTGAAAAAAAAAAACCAAGGGAGAGAGAGAGAGAGAGAGAGGTCGTCGTCACTTGTAGAACTCGGTAACACGGAATTGACGAAGAAAAGGTAGTAGTTCCTTCATTAAAATTATCAAGTATATATAGGCATTTATTACAAGAAGCCAAAAGAGGCTGACGTGGCATTTACCAAAAACAACCAAAACAGATTCATAATCGATTAACAGATTGGTAACAAACTTCTTCCCGAGAGTAAACCTCATCGTAGTTAAAGCTCATCGCAAGAGTTAAGTTCATCACAAGTTGCTCATCGCAACTTGCGTCAATTGGGTATTCTCCAAATACCCCCCTTCAAGTTGGAGCATGAGGATAAAAAATGCCCAACTTGGGTAATAAAGAAGCAAATCTATCTCAACCAATAGCTTTGGTGAAGATATCCACAGGCTGAGTTGATGTAAGAAGATGAGCAGTAGTTATAACTTTAGACTAAAGGTGCTCTCGTATGAAGTGACAATCTATTTCAATGTGTTTGGTGCACTCATGGAATACTGGATTAATAGTGATGTGGAGTGCTACTTTGTTGTCATAATATAACTGCATCAATTGTGGATGATAGAGACCAAGATCAGAGAAGACTTGCTTCAGCCATAAATACTTCATTGGTGGCAGTTGCCATTGCATGATACTTTGCTTCAGTAGAAGAGTGGGCCACTATTGCTTACTTCTTGTTCTTCCATAACAAAGGAGATTGTCCTAGGGTTGTGAGATACCCGGTGATGGATTTCTGAGTGGTTAGGCAACCAGCCTAATCCGAGTTACAATAAGCTCACAATTGGAGATCACAATCAGCCAGAAGAAGTATACCATGCTCAGGTGTAGCCTTCAGGTATCGGAGGACATGTATTGCAATATCCAAATGTTGTTGTCTAGGATCACTCATAAACTGACTTAAAATGTGAACTGAATAAGTGAGTTCTGGTCTCGTAATGGTGAGATAGAGAAGATGACCCACAAGTCGTCTGTACTGATTGGGTTGAGCAATTGGCTCACCAGATTCAGGTCCCAAATGATGTTGTTGTGCAATGGGAAACATACTAGGTTTGCAACCTAGCATGCCTGCATCCTAAAGGATGTCAAGGGTATATTTCCTTTGATTGTGAAAAATTCTAGAAGAAGACCGAGAGATCTTAATGCCAAGAAAATATCGAAGGACGTCAAGGTCCTTGATTGGAAAACACTATCGTAGGTAGTCCTTAACAGCAAAAATACGGGTTGGGTCATTTCCGGCAACCACCAAGTCATCAACATATGCTAGTACCACAAGAATGCTGCCTGATTGGACTAAAGTAAAAAGGGTATTATCAGCAATTGATTGCTTGAAGCCCTGTTGGCGAAGAGCATGAGCTAGAGTTTCAAACTAATTGTGTGAGGCTTGCTTGAGTCCATAAATGGATCTATTCAAGCAACATACTCGCTAATCCTTAGGAGGTAGGAGTCCTGGTGGAAGCACCATGTAGATTTCTTCATGGAGAGTACCATGGAGAAACGCATTGTCTATGTCCATCTGATGTAGTTCCCAATTTCAAGTTGCAACCAGAGCTAAGAGGCAACATACTGTTACTATCTTAGCAACTATGGCATATGTCTCTGTATAATCAATGCCTTCAGTTTGAGTATAGCCTTTTGCTATCAAGAGGGCTTTGTAATGCTCTACAGTTCCATCGGACTTGTACTTGGTTTTGTAGACCCAACAGAACCCAATGAGAGTCTTTTCAGTGTTAGGTCAGTCAAGGTTTAGGTATGGGTGCGCTGAAGTGCAACTATTTCAGTTGACATAGCTTGTTTCCAACAGTCATGTTTTCTGGCTTCATCATAACAAGAAGGCTCAGGTTGTGCAGAGGGGATTGAACTCAGTTAAAAAATTGGAAATTGGGTGGTGGGTGCTGCATGAGTTAGTTTGTGATTGAAGTGTTAGGCAAATGTAGTCAACCAGGTGTGGAGGAGGTCTCTTGGAGTGGAGTGGGCAATGGTTATGTGAGGTTGAAGGGTTAGGAACAATAGGTTCAGAAGTTGGTGAAGCGATGAAGTCCATGTCACTAGTGTGTTCGGGTAATTCTAAACTAATAGGGGGCTATGAGCTATCACAAACTAGTTCAGTTGAAGGTGTTTGACTAGGAACTGTATCAGCCACTTTATCATCGATTATCGGTAGAGGTATGGTTGATGGTGGAGATGGGTCCAAAGACATGTCCTCATCAGCAAAGGGAAATTTGTGTTCAAGGAAAATTACATCTCTGGACACAAATATTTGCTTGGTTGTCAAGTCATATAATCTATATCCTTTTTGATCATTAGGATACCCGACAAACACACATTTGGTGGCACAGGCATCAAATTTATCATGCCCATGTTGGGATGTACTTGCATAGCAGAGGTAGCCAAATGTTCAGAAATGATTATATGAAGGAGGTTTGCTGAAAAAAAAGTTCATATGGTGATTTCCCAGCAAGTATTAGATTAGGCAAGTGATTAATGATGTAAGTTGCTGTCAAAATACATTCTCCCCAGAACTCGATTGGCAGGTGCGCTTGGAACCGTAAGGCCCTTGTTATCTCAAGTAAGTGTCGGTGCTTGCGCTCAATGATCCCATTCTGTTGAGGGGTGCTATGCAAGATGTTTGATGTAAGATTCCATGTGTTGTCAAGTAATCTTGAACAGATCCAGAGAGAAATTCGGTTCCATTATCCAAATGGATATACTTAGCTTGGGCATTGAACTGTGTTTTCACCATTTCACAAAACATTACAAGAAAAGAGCAGGCATCTGATTTATATAGTAACGAATATACCCATGTAGCTCGAGTACAATCGTCTACGATTATCAAGAAATAATGAGCTCCATAATGAGATTGAGTGCGATAGCATTCCCAAATATCACAATGTATGAGTGTAAACTGGGCATCAAATCTAGTATGACTAATAGGAAAAGAAAGACGCGTTTGTTTTGCTCAAAAGCATATGTCATAACAATCATCATTTGGTATAGTAAT